AGCCTCTAATCCAGCTTTCTACCTGAGCAGCAGCAACACGCTGCAGCCTCTAATCCAGCTTTCTACCTGAGCAGCTGCAACACGCTGCAGCCTCTAATCCAGCTTCTACCTGAGCAGCAGCAACACTCTGTAGCCTCTAATCCAGCTTCTACCTGAGCAGCGGCAACACGCTGCAGCCTCTAATCCAGCTTCTACCCGAGCAGCTGAGGCCCTGTGGTGTCGAAGTAAAGGAGCTGAAATAACTCCGGAGCTGTTCCAGTGGAGACGAGTGACCGGACGGTTTGAAACTGATGAACAGTTCAGGCATTGGGTCGAGTCGTTGGAAAAGGGCCGGAAAAACACGAAAACTGTTGGTTTTAAAGACGTCGGTGTGATTCTAAAGGTCACTTTGTTTTCTGCTTCACGATCGTCTCGTGTTCCAGAAGCTTTTATTTTTAATTTTTATTAACCGTGAAACCAGCGATTGAAGAGCTGTGAACAAAATTACTATTCTAAAAACAAATCACGGTTTTAAATAAGTTTTAAAATCCTGGTTAGTGTTGTGTGGTTGTTTCCTCAGATGATCCAAGACTCACCTGGAATATTTCAGGTTGTTTACATGAAAATAAACAACAACATGGTCTTAATGATTTGGCTTAAATGAAGCTGGACTTGAGCTACAGCTGAACCGTCTGCAAACCTGATCCAGTTACAGATTAGATCTTTCTGTTGCTTCAACTTATGAAAAGCTCAAACAAAAAACAAGATTTTAACCAAAAAATAAAAAAATCTAAGTCTGTGTGAAGTTAGTTGTTTAGTGTGTGTGTGTGTGTGTGTGTGTGTGTGCGTGTGTGTGTGTGTGTGTTCAACCTGACGTTGGGGGATAAAACAAACAAACCCGCCTGGCTTACGTTGGGCTGATGATCGGCATGAACAGAACCCGGGCCCGTTTGTTGAGTCTGAGGTTCTGTTCATGCTCGGACAGGAAACGTGGCGGCAGCCGCCGTCGTAGCAGGAGTAAATATTCACGCGTTTGAAACGGAACCTGTATTTTCATATTTGGACCCAAACAGCTGATGGGCCGTGCACGCGGCGGCTCGTTGCACTTTTGCTGAAATCTGTGAATGCTTGTCGCCCGCCCCTTTTCAGGACAAAGTTTGATTCTGTGCTCAGTTACAGATGACTCTCGGCTACTACCACACCACCTGAGCACCTGTTAAACTGACTGAGCTGCAGCCACGTGCGTTGGCTGCGGCGGCCATCTTGAACCCGGTTGGCTCCAGTTGTAGACGCTCGTTTCTGAAAGCGTCTCTGCAGGTTGGTGAGATTTCTGCTTCTCACACTCAAACTATTGGATTAAAATCTGCAGCTGGATTAAGACGTGAAGAAGCTGTGACCATTCCAGATCATCAGAACCAATCAGAACCTCTGGGGCTCAGAGGACGCTGACTGTTTAATCTGTTATCTTTGTGTGTCTGTCTCTGACAAATTAAAAGCTTGAGTTTAATTCATGGAAAACGTGATGATGAAGCGTGACGGATTCCTGCCGGCTGATGTAAAACTTTTGGCTTCCACTTGAGGCTGATGAGTCGTGTTCTCCTCCTCGTCTCCTTCAGGGAGCGAGCTCTGAATGTGTGGATCTACAGTCTGATGGATGAGAGCTCAGAGTGAAACCCTGCAGGAGCAGCTGTGCTCGGGGCTTCGATGATGAAAGAAAAACATTTATTTACATAAATCCTGTTCTGGTCTTTGCGGGGAGCGCGTCCCTCTCTGCTCTGCTGGTGCTGTGGCGTTTCTGAAACTTTGTTTCTGAGATGTTCTGCTTCTAACTCTGACATTCTGTTGGTGCAGATGTTTGATTCTGTGATCATCTCCTACAAGAACAGCTAAAATACTGAGCTAAGTTATGCCTAGCACGTCAACTGTTATTTAGTGGCATTGATTATAAAATTATATAATAATAACAATAATATCAATAATAATAATAATAAATTATAAAGGTGAAGCCAGTTGACACTAAAGTTGTGATTTTATGTTTAAAAGTCCTAAAAACTTTAGCTGTGATTGTAAATGTTTAACTGTTTTATAAAGTTAATTGTGAGATTTTTCTGAACGAAAAGGTTTTTGAGTTCAAAGGTTCTGGTGAGTTGATCTAAAGGGTTCTGGTGAGTTGATCTAAAGGGTTCTGGTGAGTTGATCTAAAGGGTTCTGGTGAGTTGATCTAAAGGGTTCTGGTGAGTTGATCTAAAGGCTGGAGCTCGTCTCTGGGACACGTCAGGATTCAAACTGATCTTTTTACAGCTGCCTCATTTCTTTAAGTTTCGGTCAGAGCTGGAAGCCTCTTGGAGCAACAGACCTGCAGCTTTCAGTGAATTTAGTTTAATTTTCTTTGAGTAATTTTGGACAAACGCAGTTTAACTTGATCAAACGCTCCATTAGAATCTGATTAGAGTCGCTCAGCTCATTGGGATCAGATTTATGACGTCGGAGGATTCGTGTTCATCCATCACATCTTGTTTTCTTTAGCAGCAGCACAATCCAACCTGACGTCCTGGTTCTTCTTCCTCCACGGCCCGTGAGCAAACAGAACCTCTGCGCTGGGATCGTCAGAGCGAAGAGTTTATTTTTAAACGCATTTCTGCAGTGAAGAGGTGCGTTTAAAGCTGCTCCTGCAGGAGGTGTGGTCGCCCGCCTCCACCCTCAGACATGATGAATGGGCCCAAACCTTCATGGAGCTTCACGCTTTGGTTCCTCCAGGTCAGCGCGGTGCATTCAGGGCACGCAGAGCTGCAGGAAAATTAACCATTTCAAGGTTAATGAGCTGCTTTCAGTCAAGTAGAACCTTCAGTAGAACCTGTAAAATGTTCTCCAGGTGTTTGAGTCCAGAACTCTCATTTTGTTGCTTCTGATCATCTGGATCCTGATCAGTCTGTGTTGTGGGATCTTGAGTCCTGTTACCTGATCAATCAGTGTCATCAGTTCACCTTTGGCCCCGCCTACTCTCACCTGTTCCTCCATGCAGGTGTTTGTGATTTGGTCGATCAGTTTTTATTCTTGGTTCCTCCAGCAGCGGAGCATCGAGTCTTCTCACGTCTGCCTCAGTTTTGTGCGTTTTGCCTCCGTGTTGCTTTTTGTTTGTTGTTGAAATAAACACATTTTGTTTTTCTGGAGCTCCTTGTGTACCTGCTGGGTCCATGGGCTCGCTTCTTTTCTCCGTTTGATTTACTGCACCTTCAAAATGGGTCTTCATCTCATAAACTGGATTTTATCTAAATAAATAGAAAGTCGGGATTATAAATAAATAAATAAAAATAATAATAATATTTTTATTTATTTATTTATTTTTTTTCTCCTCTTCCTACCCACCTAGTTCCCTGACTGCCATTCCGGGGGTGGGGTCCGGGAGAAGGGCAGGCCGTCGGGTGTTGACCAGGACTATGTGGGGGTTCGGGGTCTGGGGGTTGCCGTGGGCGGTGCTGGCGCTGTGCTCTCCCTGGGGTTGTTTGGACCCCCTGAGCTTGGCTCTTGGGTGCCATGGTTGGCCCGCGGACAGGGGTGGCTGCCGGGGCCTGGCAGGCGGTCGGCTGGGGGTGCGTGCTTGGTTGTTGGCGGTGTGTGGGGGTGATTGGTGGCGTGTCCTCTTCATGGTGGGGGGGTGTCCTGTCGGCGGGGCATGGCCTGGGCCGGTTCTGGGGTATTGGCTCTTC